TCTCTCTCTCTCTCTCTCTCTCTCTGTACCTACCTACCTATTTACCTATCTGTCAATCTATCTATCACAAAGGTCTTCAAACTTGGCAGGTTTAAGACTGGTGGACTTCTCAACTCCCAGAATTCCTGAGCTAACATGACTGGAGGAGGAATTCTGGGAGTTGAAGTCCATAAGTCTTAAAGCGATCAAGTTTGAAGAACCCTGATCTAGACATACCTATGCAGCACACTCTCTTGTTCATAATTCTCCTATTAAGTGACAACTTGAGGACTATTCTTGGGGGGCAGTCCATGGTTCACTTTTCAAGTTTCCAACAATTATCTCCTCAGGCTTCAAGCAAGCTTTGTAGAACAAATACCAAACATGGCACACAAGGCATGAATCGTTTGGTGAAGAAGAGGGGAGGAGGGTTTCTATGCCTTGCAGACAACTTTTATCCACAGAGAATACCAGTGAAAGGAATGGCGGGGAGGAGAAGAACGCTTTGCTATCGTCAGAAAACAAACTACTGTTTAACAGATAACACATGTCGAAAAGCAGGCATGCCCCAGATACAACCATGAGGGTATCTCACGAGACTTCCAGACGTGCTGGATTATCTAAAACAGAAGTTTTATCTCACTGATAAAAAGAAATGTAAGCTGCTGGTATCTCTCACTCACCCACCCCGAGACCTCACAAATATATATATTTCCTAGGCTCCAGAAGCTACGGTTAATCTCGGGTTGAGGCGCCAAGAATCGGGAATCCAGAAATGGTAGCGTTTAGCCTGGGATTGAAAAGTTTGAGCCAGGAAAGGCAATTTATCTAGCGAGCAAACGGAGCAATGGTCACCCTGGATCCTTCAGGGTTCATAGTTTTTCTCTCTCTGCCTAAAAGAAGGACACATTTTTATAAGGAAGACATAGCCTCCAATCAATCGTAAAGATAACTTGTGCAAAACAATTTGGTTTGTTGAACAGCCATCAATGTGATGCGTGGGCGTATCCCACGATATTTGTGTGTGTGTGTGTGTAACTGTGTCATGCAGGATTTCAATCAGTATTCAGAAAAAAGAAATGTGGGGAGTGGGTTGTTTTAAGAATAAAGGAAGCTGGGTTTAATATTGCCTGCTGGATGCCAGGCATCATGGCGCTGTCAAAATCAACTATGCAAAATCAATTATTTTAACAACCAGCTGGGTGAAAATGACCTTTGATCAATTTTCTCCATCAGATATGATGGAGTCCAGTTTCCTCTCTCCCCAAGCCCCCCAACTCAGCTTCTACTGTTCCCTTTCTCCATGGTGTAAATTAGCAGGAACATTTTGTTTAATGCGAATTCAGCAGATAAGATATCTAGAGCCAATGTTTCGTTTTGCTCCGTTGCTCCTCCCGGGTGTGGAGGAATTTCAACTCCCTTCACAACGATTATAAAAACCTCAGACCCTCAATTTGTTCCCTCATTCTGGGGGGCTAGCAATCTGACACCCCAAAATTACATTCAGCCTTGAAATTCATTTTCCTTCCAGCTACTGAAATCCTGCAAATCACCACAAATGTTATTCAACGGCTATGCAGATCCTGCTCTGTGAAATAAACAGAAAACAGGGGTTGAAGTACCCCAACTAAGAGTTTAATTCATGAAGGGAGAGGACAAAAAATATACCTATGCTATTTGTCTGGCAGCCCATCCCCAATTTTACATCCATGCTTCCAACGGTATACCAACTTTCTTGACTTAGTTGCCTTCTCTGTGTGAGATTATATTTTCAATTGCCCCAAAGCCAGTTTGGGTAGCCCAGAAGGCCTGGCCCCGGGTACAAGGGTCAGGCAGAAGATACGCACGTATTCCACAGCAGAACTAGCTAGATTGGCAGGAAGGAAATTTAAATTCCAGCCAACTGAGAACTTGCTAGTTCCTGGATCCCTTCCTTTATACAATTTTTTTCTCTGGTCTCTCCACCCTTTCCAGGATATTACAAAAAATGTCTTTGATAAACTGTTACCCAACTCTTCTCATTAATATTTTTCATTAGCAAGGGAGATAGGCTTAATTCCTGTCAACATAGGATGTTTTTTTTAAGACTACATTACCCACCCAGCTCATTGGCCTCCCATAAATCTCTTTGACAATTGCCTTATTTTTTCCTCTGTAAAGGGAAGTCCATAAAGACTTTGATTCAAGCACTAACCCTCTTGGCTGATAATAGACGCAGAGCTCCTATGACCACCAAAAGGCAAAGGATCAGTCGTAGTAGTGGCCTTCTACATGACAGGGGAGGGCAGTAGTAAATCCTTCTTCCAAAACAAACATCTTGATCCAGGATGGCATGACGGAGGAGGAGGAGACCATCTACCCACCCTTTCATCTACTACATGGACAGAAGTCAATGGGTGTTGTGGTTCGGTCGGCAGCCGGTGCAGCCGGCAGCAGAATCGGACAGTGGGGAAGAATGGGGTCCAGTCCGGGAGTCTGGGGAGGACTCGGATGAGGGTCCTGCATCCGATGGAGAGATGGGGCCAGGGCCATCTGGGAGTTATGTGCTAATTCCGGAGCCTCTAGAGTCTGGCAGCAGCGAGGAAGAGGATTTAGGGGAGCCTGTTCCCAGTGCTCGTGTGCGCAGAGCTGCCAGAAGGCAAGAGCAGCTAAGACAAAAGGGGCAACTCGGGCGTAAGGCTGGGAGGTGATTGCCTCTCCCATAAAGTACAAAGGACAGGAAAAGGTAGAGAAACCTTTGCAGGAAGCAAAGTCGTTTGCTCTGTTTGGATTCAACCTTGAAGCTCTGTGTACTTGGTTTTTTTTCAGTTAATTTGGCACTTTAGTTGTTGGCAGCCATTCAAAGGAGAGAAAGGTGGATGCTTATCTCGAGGGACTGTTTGGGATTTATTAGGGGCTGGGAATGCACATAATTCCCAGCGTTGAAATAAAACAAGCGTTGTTTGGACTAAGCGTGTGTTTAATTGTGGTCTCAGAAAGCCTTGGTCAGAGCAATAGGCATGGGTCAAAACTCTGGGTTTCTGCCTGCTGAGTTTCACAGGTTCGCATCTGCAATATCCAGGACCAATTCCCTACTCCTGTGTGTGCTTTGGAGTATTATTTATCAAGCTGGATTTTTCAGAAGGCTGCCTGGGAAGAACGCCAGATGTGCATTTCTCCTTCGGAAAGTCATCTGTTACTCATGAAGAAGTGGAAGCAGCTTGCAGGGGATGTGCTGCCTCTGAAAAAAAAATGTAATGTTTGGAGGAGCCCTTGGGTCAGATTTGTTAGAGAGGCCAAACATCTACAGTTCCTGCCACATCCACGGCTCTAGATGTCGGAAGAGTTTTTCAGAGCAACGTTGCATCAGGTACAACCTGGGAAATCTCCTTCAATGCAAACTGCCAAAGACATCCTGGGTCTTACCGAAATGTCTACCAGGAGGGGTTATGATCCTTTTCCAATAAACCATAGCTAGCTTTCCAGATTAACTCTTTTTTTTTTTTTTTTACTTACCCTTGTAATTCCATTCCTTCCTGGTGATGTAACCATTCACCCTTTCTTGATAATAGTATTTGTGTCAATTTTCCCTAAAATATCTTTAAAAAGGTCTCTATCAGAGGTGGGATTCAGCCGGTTCTGACCAGTTCTAGAGAACCGGAAGTGGAAATTTTGAGTAGTTCGAAGAAAATGCCACCGCAGACTGGCCCCGCCAACCCCATCTATTCTCCGCCTCCCGAGTCCCAGCTGATTGGTTGGGCCTTCTTTGGTTGCCCTGCACAGGAGAACGGATCTGGAAAGCAGGTTAGTGGGCTGGGGAGGGAAGGGGGATTTTGCAGTATATCCTTCCCCTGCCACGCCCACCAAGCCACGCTCACAGAACTGGTAGTAACATTTTTTTGAATCCCGCCATTCGTCTCTATAACCTTGCAAGCTGCACTGAGTGTTCAGTGTGCGTGTCCACCCCAAAATAACAAAAGACCACCCAAGAAGACCTTCATTAACAGCTGTCCATCTCTCCTCCAACTTCTGGAAAAAGTATCAAGAGACAAACAAATTTGGAGAAAGATGGGCCCTCAGTACATGGTCCTAAGCCATAAACTGCTTAAAAGTCTTAACTCTTACTCGATGCCCATTGTTCAACCATACTTGGGCATCAAAGCAGTATCAAAGCCATTTCTACATCCTTCTTACTGACCAGTACAAACATTTTGTGTCTTTGGGAAGTGTTTACACTCGCCAAGACCATCCAGCTGTCCTCCAGATAGGTCTGAGTTTGCCTTGGTCATGATTCCTAATCTCTACTTTCTGTTTTCATCAATCTTCCTTAGATATTTGAGGAGAAAAAGAAAAAGAAACAGAGGGATAAACTAACAGCAAATCTTCCCAACTGTTTGATATGGTTTTATGTTGTGGTTGTGAGCCACCCAGAGTTTTAAAATGGGCAACTGTGCCGATATTCGAAATAAATAAACTCAGAGCAGAATTAAGATGAAAACATCCTGGTGGTGTTTCCCAGCTGGAGACAGTCTTTAAAAAACACCCACTTAACAACATTTTCTCTTTTTCTCTCTCTCTAGTTGTATCCACCAACTATTTACTTTATCTCTTGGAAGTCCTTGCAACAAAAAACCCATCAAACATAAATTATGCTTATCACGTTAAAAGCCTTTTCATTTCACTCCATTTTTGTTTTAATCTTTTTTCCCCCTTTCCAATTCTCTCTTTACTTTACTGCCAACAAAGCAGCTGAATCTTGTCCTGCACAGGCGGGTTAACCAGTCATTCTCCCTCTTTTTTTTTCTTTTTTCTTTGCAATAAACCCAGATCTACGATTGAAATGCCTGCGTTTTGCAGCCTATTTTGATGTGACAATGATACAGCTGTAAGAAAGACAGAAATGAAATTCCCCGAAGGACAGATTCTCAACTTCCAAACTGACAGCTGTCCCCCATTTCCTTGTGGATCCCACAACTGCTAAATCCAGACCTGCTGCGCTGAATCAAAGGGGCAGCCGGCCCCCACGCGACGCTCAACACCATCCAGGACAGCAAAACCAGAATGGAGACCCTCTTGAAAGAGAGAGAAGTCCTGCCTTAATGACACATGGACCGAGATAGGAAGGGATTTTACATGACTCAGCGATCAAAGTTGGTTCCTTGGGGGGATATTCAGGCAAGGGTGGTGCCACACCAGAGGTGTCTCCAGCTGGGAAACACCACCAGGATGGTTTCATCTTAATTCTGCTCTGAGTTTATTTATTTCGAATATCAGCACAGCTGCCCATTTTAAAACTCTGGGTGGCTCACAACCACAACATAAAACCATTCATCCTTGCACAAAGGAGAGGCTAATCCTTCCCATGGTGGAAATAGCATTTATGGATAGATCGCTCAAGGAATCCTGGGTCCAAAGGCAGATCAGTGGCTTCCCTTTGGAGCGTGTCCAAAATTTTGACCCAGAAGGGATTTGTTTATTGACCAGTGGTGGCCGCAGTGTATGTGAGACAGGTTGTCAAATATTTATTTACTATAGAAGTAGGGATGGGTTTAAGCTTAGGCTTAGGTATAGTTTTAGACAGTGGTGGGATTCAATTTTTTTTTCACTACCGGTTCTGTGGGCGTGGCTTGGTGGGCGTGGCAGGGGAAGGATACTGCAAAATCCCCATTCCTTCCCCATCCCACTAGCCTGCTTTCCAGCTCTGTTCTCCCTTTGCAGGGCAACAAAAGAAGAGCCAGCCAATCAGCTGGGACTCAATGGGAGGCGGAGAATAGATGGGGTTGGCGGGACCAGTCAGAGGTGGGATTTGCTGGTTCTCTGAACTACTCAAAATTTCTGCTACTGGTTCTCCAGAACTGGTCCAAACCTGCTGAATCCCACCTCTGGTTTTAGAGACAGAAGTATTGAATTTTAGAGGTAGAAGCACAGATGAGAGGCAAAGATAAAGGAGAGAAGTAGAGGTTGATCTTAGAAGGGACGTCAAAATGCAGTCAATTGCACAGATCCCAGCTGACCATTTGTGGCCTCAGTGAAATCCCTGGTTATTAAGTTACCAGAGGGAAGGTTTTTTGGAGAAGGAATGGGAAAAACACTTAAAGAAAAGAAATCATGAATTCTCATTCAAAGAATGAGGAAGAGTCCTTATTTACTATTATTTGTTCCATATGAAATGTTGCTTCTGCCTTTCCTTCGGCGGGGGTGGGAGAGAAATTTTATTTTAATGCTCCAAGCATGCAGACATCTGCATTTGAGCTTGTTTGATGTTCAAGTCCTTTCCCCAGAGCTAAAAAAACTTAACGGGACAAGTCTGCGCTTGACTGCCCAGAAGCTCCTCTTGCAACCGTTCCACAACCTAAATTGGGAAGAAGACGACACATCCTGACTCTAGAGGAAATGTAGCAATTTTTCAGAAGTATTTATCTGTAAACTTTCACAGAAATACCGTCTTGTCTAACTAGTTTAACACGGCGGGAATGAAAAACAGCAAATTAACAAAAAATGCTACGTGCAATACCTGCAATTAAGCCATTTAAGGAAAAGCTTCAAATTGACTTTTGCTAAAAGCAAAAACAAACGAATTGGTCTCTAAGAAATATATATGAGGGGAATAGTTACGTAATAAGGGAGTCAACCAAGTAAAGGAGCTGTGTGTATGGCACTCATTCATAAGGCGGACCTTACAATTGGAACTCAGGAATATGAAAAATGCTCGGAAGATGAAGATGAAGAAAGAACGAGGAAGGAGAGGAGGAGGAGGAGGAAGGAGGAAGAGAAGGAGGGGAGGAGAGGGAATGTAGGGGAGGAGAAGGAGGGAGGAAAGAAGGGGAAACAGATGGGAAGGTGACGGAGAAGGAGAAGAAGGGGAGGGGAGGGAAGAGAAGGGAGGGGAGGGAGGGAGGGAGGGAGGGAGGAAGGATGGAAGGAAAGAAGGAAAGAAGGTGAAAGATGGGAAGGAGAAGGAAGGAGGGAAAAGAAAAGAACAGAACAGAGGGAGGGAGGAAGGAGGAAGGAAGGAAGGAAGGAAGGAAGGAAGGAAGGAAGGAAGGAAGGAAGGGAGAGAGGGAGAGGGAGAGGGAGAGGGAGAGGGAGAGCGGAGGGAAGGAAGGAAGGAAGGAAGGAAGGAAGGAAGGAAGGAAGGAAGGA